CAACGGTATTAGTTTTGCCATATATCAACTCTTTAAAGACAGTTTATGGTAAAGTAATATATTTGCCTATACGTTAGTAACAACGCTTTCCCAAAGGCCAAAAAGAAGTCGGTGTCATCTGCACCACTTACCCTAATATATCATCATAAGCATGCAGCTCATAGCCTATCCTTCTTAACCATCCATTAGGAAGACTTGAGCCAAGTATCAATTAACTTGAAATATCAAGTTCGGGCCTTGCAGATAAATGGTAGATCAGATACAGTATTGTCTGTGTCAACTGTCATAGTACAAATGTTGTTACATAGTAAGTAAACATGGTGATCTACGGATACGTCTCAAATATCGTACAGGAAGCTTGAGTGCGCTTGCGCATGGTGGGAACGCTATTGTATTGTTCTGAGCGTGTGGAACCCATCACTTCCTCTGATGGCCGCAATAGCAATCGATGAATATGAGATGTAATTGATTAATTACGCTGTAAGAAAGTCACATTTATTATAATGCTATCATCACTTGTCACAGAAACGAAAAACTATGTAGAGACTGCGTTTAAAGAGCTTGATTGTCTCTGCTATCCCAAAGATATCTTTTAATACAAATACTAGCAGTGCCCGCGACTTCGTCCGTGTGAAATAGTGACTTTTGGCAGCTTCTTTCATTTTTAGGGTTCCCTACCCAAAGAGTAAAACGACAATCCTTTTACTAAGACTTCGCAGTCTGACTGTCCGTCATCAGGCTGTATCACATAAATCTTGAAAATTAGACAGTTGAATTTTAATAGAATAAAATAAATATTTAAGGGTTCTCTCATACACAAAAGTGATTATTGGCTATTACCACCATACTGCTGCATTTCACGAACCGTGATGGCTAGACAGTTGAGATTTTCACAGAAGACGTAGTTGTTGCCGATATAATAACAAATACTAAAAAAAAACAGAATAAAACAAATATTTAAGGGGGCTCCCATACAACAAACCTGATTTTTTGTTCGTTTTCGATGCGGGACCCTTCGTGCACGAGTTGACTCGCTCTTGGCCGGTTTTTTAGGCTAATTATTTTTCAAATAAAACACATTCATTCATCAAAAAAGTTATTTACAATATTCCAAACTATTTAAGCACAAAAAATAAATTAATGTTCAACTACTTTAGTAGACTTAAAGAATCAATAACTCTGTAGTTTTTACAATTATTTTACTTTTGACTTATGAACGTGAGCAAAGAAAAATATTAGTTTGGAAATTATAATATTTTTTTATACATAAACCAAATATTATTAAAATGTCTCCAATTAAAATGTTCCAGTTCAATTTTATTTCAAAACTTATTTACTGAATATAAACATTTATCAACTAACCATGTTTTCAAACGTGATTTATATAATTTTTGCGGCAATAATTTGAGTTTATCCGGTATATTATTATTTAATATCTTTATTGCCATCATACAAGAGTTTCTTTTAAAATAGTCGGTTCCAATCATTTATTAGTTATTTAATTGGAAAAGTTATTTATTTGGAAATCTTGTCTTAAAATAACATTTTTTTCCTACAGTTCTAAGTTATACAAACAAACACAAGTTTTAAAAATACAGTATCGTCATTTAGCGAGTTGTATTTTATTATTTTGCCAGATTCACAATTTCCCATTAAATTATTGGAAATACCATAAAATTTTAAACGAAAACTGCTTCGTTAGAGAAAATCGAAAAAAGTAAAGTCGACAAAAATAATAAAAAACAAAACCTCGTTTTAAAAGTACAGTAGCGTCATCTTTGTTCAGTAGAGATAGCCAAATGTAACATTTTATTTTTTCGCGCTATTAATAATACACCAATTAATTATGTTATTGGAAAAACTGCAAAATTGAAAACGAAAGCTACTTTATTTAATAAAAATCGGAAATAATATTGACTACAAACATAACAAAAAACAAAATCTCGGTTTTAAAAGTTTGTAGTGTCATCTAATGCTCAGTAGAGGCAGCGGAATGTAACATTTTTGTGTATTTTATATATTTTAATATTTATATACCTTTTATGTACCTTTTATGCGAGAATTAACTGCGATAACACAATTTTTACACTTTATAGAGACAGGGTTTGTTTGTATGGTATGGGTTTAGACAAAACACTGAAACTTGACGCCCTAGACAAAAACACTGGAACTTAGTATCCTAGGCAAAACTCCGGAACTTGGCGCTCTAGACATATAAAAGGAACTTGGCGCCCTAGGCAAAACCCGGAAATTGGTGCCCTAGGCCTAAAATTGGAACTTGGCGCCCAAGGAAAAACCCGGAAATTGGCGCCCTAGGTCTAAAACTGGAACTTTGCGCTCTAGGCATAACATTGGAATTTGGTGACCTAGGAAAAACATTGGAACGACGCCCATACAAAATAAAAGACTAATGAACATCGATTAAAAATTATAAAATTTTGAATACTGCGGACATGGACTCTTGTTTAAATAACAAAGGTATTTTTAAGGTATTGCAGTTTTAAGGTTCAAATAATTAGAGGAAACGTAATCTGTTAACGTTTGGGAAACGCCATAGCATAGCTGTTCCCAGATACGAGCGCCCTAGGCAGTTGTCTAGTTTGCCTATATGGACGGGCCGGCTCTGAAGCTGCTGGACCGATTTTAAAACTTCTTTTTTATGTCCTGTCACAGGAATTGGCTAATACAGCCAATGCAAGGTAAACTAAATATGTTCGCACCATTACAATTTCTTTTACACATCAGTAATTACTATTTATTTTAGTTTATTAGTAGGTATAAGTAAATATATATATTTATATAAAGATTTTCATTTAGTATATACCATAATTTATGTATATATATCTATAACGCCAAGCTTTTGTACAGGCTCTGCCAGAATAACCAGCGCCGTATCAGGGTAAGCTACTCTGATATGGCTTATGCTGAGGCAGAGTCCTGATTGACCACCACCTTTGTAATAAGTTAAACCATTGTTATGTACCTATGTGGTCAATCAATATATTTTCTTTCTTTCATTCTTTCTTCTTATTTTATACGTCGATGTCGCGGGAAAACACTTAGTTTTTTTTTATATAAAACGAAACTCTTAAAGCCTCTTTTTTCTGTTCTGTGACTAATACTATTTCGATAATATTTTTAAGCAATAAAAAATAATAAAGTCGGCTCTGTAAAAAGTTTGCAATGTTAAATTCAATATTTGATTTTTGTCTAATTTTGTTGTTTTTAATAATAATAATAAAGTATTTATTTTGCCAACCCACAACACAACCCAGTATAAAACAAACAAGACAATTAACAATTACAAAACAATACAAGAATTTAAAGTGTAATGTTGTGTACTGTCAAAACTGACCTCAGCTCAGCGTAAGCTATGGGTACACCCATTGCACTGGTATTCTGCTGAGGTCAGTGGCGACAACACGGACCTACAATGTTCGACATAAAAGTATTTAAATAACAATAACAAATAGAACGATTTCTTGTTCTTTTCATGTCTTAGGATAGTACATGGAATATAATTGTGTTGGGCTGGTATCGGATCAGTGACTTTTTACTATTCAGGCGAGTGCCCTTCCTTATAATGCACAATTCATTAAAAATAAAACGGAATGTCATAGACGTGTAAATAAAATACTCGGGTTATCCTTCTGAATTGAAATATTTGTCTTTTATTAAGTATACGCTTTTATTCTAATCTAGTGGCTAGCGCGATCGATCTGCGACACGGTTGTGTTTTTTTGTTTTTTGCAAACCAAAAATTTATTGTATCGAACTCCTCCGTGCTTCGGAAGGTACACTAACTCGTTGATCCTAGCTGCATCTGCAGTCATTTATATCCACCAATTCACACAAGGCTCGCATGGCGCGTCATTGGCCCATTCTTTTGACACCAATAGAGTAGTGATAATGCTAATCTAGAAACATATTGGTATTAATTTTATGGTGCGCAAATGCAACAGACTGGAACCATTGGAAGCAAAGAACAATTATAAAAATTGATACAGTGTTTTTGACCTTGTGCCTTTTAATTTGAAAATATGAGAAAAACACTGCTTAGGTCTAGTTGAATTGCTTAACAATTAAATACATAAGATTTTTTAAATACTTAATAATAATTTTGAGGTTTTTTTAATCGAAGTATAAAGATTGTTGTAAATAATCATATAATTAATGTATTATATTTCTAGTATTTTTTGTCTTTAATCGTAATCTTATACATAAACCATAGTAATTAAAGAATTGAATTAAAATAAACATTGAAGTTAATATGGTCTTGTTTTTCTGAGCTTGTTTATGCCTTTTATCTTTGTGTTAATTTAATTTTTAAATAAGGTTCAATACTCCAAATACGGGGACTTTAGCTACTTTAGATCTCGGAATCTTAACAATGTATGCGAGTTGTCTAATTTTTATTTATTATTATTTACAGAAGCTTTGTCTTTTGCAGCCTTTCCAGTTCATGTTACTCACTCATAAACTCAAGTAAACTCATGTTTCTACAAAACTATGGAATTTTCATAATCAATCGATTTTCAAGACTTTTGACAATTACTTTTTTGCTATAGAAACTGATATAACACGTGGATACACATAAATTTATACTGCATTATGAAAGTGATACATGATACACTGTAGGAACAACATTTCTGGTAATGAGCGACATCTAGTTCGGCGTGCCAATTTTATGATACTGAAAGTCGCTGACATGAAAATCGCCGAAAATCTAAACTTATGCGTGTTTTTTTTATTTTACTTTAACTTTTCATTAAGAAATCGTTAAAAAAACCAACTCATTACTAAATTTTAAGTCACAATAATCTCCATATATTATTTGGCAGAACAAAGCATTGTGATCCGTTCAGCTGTTAATTAATTTTTTTTTCTAAAATTTTATCTGATAATATTTCTCTGACTCCAAAAGAGAGAGGTGGATGAGACCTATTTAAAAGTTACAAGAGGCAGAATAATGCTAATTGTATCATTAAGTAGTTTTTATAGGCTTCGCTGGTGAGGATCAACAGTGATAACGAGGTATATCATTAGGCCGACGTGAGTGGAGGGTAGCAGTAGGGCACGCCACGCATGTGGCCGGGGCCGTCGTCGCATCTGGTGACGAGGGGGGTGCGGAGGGGGCTAAAATTAGTATCGGGCCGCCACGTGCGCTGGCTGCCACCAAGCCGTTTCAGTCCGCGCGCAACCATCACGACGATCACTCGCTCCGACCGCTCTCCAGTGTTTACAAGCACATAACCTACGCACCGGTACACCGGACTGACAGCCAGTGACAGTGTTTGGAGTGTTAGCCGGCGCGACGGAGGCGGTGCAAGGAATGTTGATGGCGGGCGCTTTGCCGGCCGAGCCTGAGGGTCTCTTGGCCCTCAGTGCACTCCCGGGACAAAAGGACACCACCTGGACGAAGCTGTTCGTCGGCGGACTACCCTATCACACGACGGATAAGAGCCTGAGGGAACACTTCGCCGTGTTCGGTGACATAGAGGAAGCGGTCGTCATAACAGACAGGCAGACTAGTAAAAGCAGGGGATATGGCTTCGTGAGTAATACATTTTTTTATGTTTTCAATTTCATCGCGTCTGAAACCTTGGCGTTGTACAAATTATAATGCCGGTGCGCAGGCGACTCGTGTCGGCTATGAAAGGCAGCCGTATCGCACGCTGGGCGCGTTATCGCACCTCATTGCTACCGGCAACATACCTACTGCCGCGACTAGGTGCGTTTGTACAGGCTGTATCGCGAAATTACATCAAACAAGGAAGTCAAACCACTTATGTAGGTGCACACTTTAATCACAAGCCAAACCATGGAACCATAACAAACAATACTTCAATGATAACGCTCATACTTCAGTGGATAGCTCAAACGAGTTTTAAGTTTCGGTCATTACTTATATTAACATCTTTTAACATGACTTTATAAATATATCAACTGCTATTATATCCATGATGATGATCGGTCATTCGTATAGGTAATTCATTCAAATGGATGCACAATATAGACAACATTCTGAAAGTTGGATGCTTATTAAATGAAAAATGCACAGATACATTAATCGCACTCGTTTCAAAATTATTTCGTGAGTCTCTTAGTGTAATAAAGTTTGAGGCTTTTTGTATCGTATGACTGGGGCTCGTGGGAAATGAATCACAACCCCATTTTCAATTCACGCTGGGGTCGGGTGGTAGGGGAGGCAGTGTGTTCCTGCACCCTCTGTGACATCCAAATAGCTGTAATAATCGCAATGCGCTTCGTAACACTTTGTGACGATGCGTTCGTAGTTTGTTAATCTTTTAAATTCACTAGACAGAAAAATTAAATAAAATGTTAGTAGCTAAAAGGAAAAACAAATGAAGTCAATCACTGGATAGATAGATCTTTAAACTTACTCTGCGTTTACATTGTTTTGTAAAATGATTGCGTTTTCGTCTGCGATTTAATTGAGGGAATCCTTAGCCGTCCTTAAGCAGAGTTTATACAAACGTACAAATTTTTGAGCTTCTTCATTAACTAGTTTTTCATACCCCTAATTAGGATCTTTGGGGGTTGAATTCTTAGCGAAACTCTCCGCTATAACAACGTTTTGTATGTACACGTCAAATCTTAGTTCGATCCATTCCGTAGTTTGAGCTGTGAATTGAAATAATAGACTAGCTGTTTTCCTGCGACTTCGCCAGCGTAAATCACAGCCTAAGTCACCGGTGTATGATGTAGCTTTCCGTTTGTGAAGGAATTTTCATGATCGTATCAGTATTTCCAAAGATTACGACAAACAAACAAATCAAGTTAGAAACTTTTACTCTTCATAATATTAGTATAGAGATATACATAGTAAAACACATGCAACTAACTGTTACAGTCATAAAATTGTACATACATTTTGAAATCTATAATTCAATCTAATCAAAACAATTCACAAGGCCACTTATATATCGCACATTGATTTTTACAAAAACGGTTATTCTACATCAGTGTTAAGATTGACATTTTATTATTCATGTAGTTTTGTAAGGTCGCAAACGTTGGTGTACCTTGTAATACGTGATGAAGTACCAGCTCAACACAAAAGACAGACATCCGATATACTGCGGGCTGTATTTCTCTTGAGCAATTCTGAACTCTATTCTATTCAGTTAAGTAACAAAGAAAACCTGTTGTCTTATGATGACCTTACATTAAATTACATATGTCACAAAGATCATATATATGCGAAAAGTGGAAATAAAATTAAGACCTTTTGGTTACAAATGACCTGAATTTATGTAATTTAAAGTCATTTTATTTGGAATAATGTTTCTGTAATTTGTAATTTAATATGGATCAATGGGTCTGAAATAAAGATTTATTATTATTTTTATTATAAATGATAATGTTCACAAAATTAAATTGCAAAATAACTTATTGTATGCTACTGAAGCGCAAGTCAAAATAGAGTACTCTCAAAGTCAAAAATCATTTGTTATATTGAGTTTAAACAGAACGTAACATGTAGCCGAGTCACGAAATTAAATTTGCTACCTGACATTACTGTGAAACAAAGAGTACTATACATACCGTCTAGTATGTATATAATTCTCTCAATCCGGATTCCTTTTATTGTTATTAAAACGTCATTGTCTTCGTGAATTTAGGTAATTCATTATATCACAATGATACTTATCATACCAGTTAACTAAAAAGCTAGGAACATCTGAGATATGTTTCTTATATATCTATCTACATAATTTTGGTTTAAAGAAGATAATTCCAAATTCAAATTAGGAAAATGTTCGATTTTCATTTGTCATTCAAATTAAGAAATTCTATACATTTAAAAAAAAAATGCAACCTAGTGCAGTTTTTCTGAGAGTAGCACAAATTTGGTTTAAAGGTTTTTAGTCCGGAAATTTTGACTTCAAAAATGCACGTCGCTCCGGTCGCCCTGTTATGGATAAAATAGATGCCATTTTTGAAAAAGAGGGGCAAGATTGGCATATCTATAGTTATGGTGTAGCTTAAGAACTGGGGATTGACCACAAAACAGTATTGGCGCATTTTAAAAAAGTTGGAGTTTTGGGTACCTCACGAGCACACTGAAAGAAATCTAATAAACCGTGTACTTATTTGTGATCCTTTATTACGATGTAATGAAACCGAACCATTTTTAAAGAAACTGATAATTGATTATGAAAAGTGAATCACGTACGACAAGAACGTGCGAAAAAGGTCGTGGTCAAAGGTCGGTCAGGATTCACAGACTGTGGCGAATCCCAGGTTAACTCGCAACATGGTGATGCTGTGCGTGTGGTAGGATTGGAAGGGCATTATTTGTTATGAGCTGTTACCACCAGGACCATCGATTCCGAACTCTACTGTGGACAACTGATGAGATTAAAGAAGAAGATGAGAGAAAGCAGCCAGAATTAATCAATAGAAGGGGTGTGGTTTTTCATTGTGTTAACGCTAGACTCACACATATTTTGCCACTCAGCAAAATTTAAAAGAGTTTGGCTGGGAGGTGTTAATGCATCAGCCTTATAGTCCTAATCTTGCACCTTCAGATGTCCACCTGTTTCGATCTCCTCAGAATTGTTTAAACAGTGTCAGGTTAACATCACGCGAGGTTTGTTAAAATCACTTGTCGTGATTTTTAATCAGAAGCCCCAAAATTTCTATTACAATGGTATTATGTCCCTACAAGATAGTAAAAAGTCATCGAAAAAAATGGTACCTATATGCTTTAGTTCAAGTAAAAGTAAATGTTTGAATTTGTCTATAAAATGCGAAGAAACTTTTCATAATTTTTTTTAAGAATTTCAGAATATTACAATTCACAGTTAGCAGGAAAAATTGTAGTATCTTATCTGTCATAATCAGCGCGATAGTTAATAAATAAAATGTGAATTATTATTATGGCACGATTTATGGCGATATGACACGACTACCGTAATCAGGGCAAAGAAATGTGGTGCATCAATTAATAATACACTGATTAAACCTGAATTAACGTCGCGAAGTCATCGTGACACGTCGTAAATACGATATTTCTTTATAAAATATTTCTTTTCGAATATGCAATTCTCCCGACTGATGGGTTATGGGTGATGTTTGAAAATAATTCAAAATTTTCTTTATCGTTGCAACTAATAGAGATATTGTAAAATGTTCGCAACTATACATAAGAGTGTATATAAGCCATTGATAATAGTTATGTGCTGTGACACGTAACTTATCTACTGCACGAATTTACTCACTTCAAGTTGTGTATATGCCAAATAAAAAGGTTATATTAAAAAATATATTCGATTGATTTGTAATCGCGATGCTACAATGATATGTAGTGCTGAATATTAATAATCATAATGTGAAAGAATGTAAAAACATTACTAAAAAAAAATAGTAAATTAGTATATCACTATAAATTTATTTGAGTGCGTTTTAAATCATGTAATGTTAAAAAATAATATATAGATATCAAGAATTACCTTTAAAGAATAGGCATGTCGATAAACTATTCTCAGTATAGTATTAATGGAATAAAAACTTTTATGTAAACTATTGTTAATTTGGATATGTAATGACGCAAAAATACGTGGCACTATGGACAAACCTTAGTGGTTTTTATAGTGGCATTTAAACAATAACATTGTATATGATTGTTTGTATTGCTAAATAAATAAATAAAAAAAAGTGCGCAGATCAGACATATACCAATGCCGCTGATGATCGAATGTATAATAAAATTATCAGGCTTGTTTTAATAACCGTAAGCTTTAAAACACAATGTATTAGAATTCTGTCTCAGAATACACGGGGGTCTTGCGCGCGGTTCGTCTGATAGCGCGCTACTTGTATCATTTTGATTCGTTAGAAGTTACCCCGCTTCGGATTCTACGTGATGTTAGAATACATATGAAACAAAATTCCCACTGTCTCTTTCTGTTGAAACACTAATGAATTGGTTTCCTTGCAATTTTCACCAATAGATGAAATGTGAAAGGTGAAAATATCATTGTTACTGGGAAGATTTTGGATACAAGTCGTAAATTGTAAAAGAAACAAAACACACTCGAAGTTTTAAAAGAAAATTGACGAAACAAAAAAGAGCAAGAAACATTCTAGTCACTTTTTGTGACGTAGAGAAATCGGTGCACTATTTCAACTGTATGGTAACTTTTACAAAAATAATTAGATTCAAGCTTTAATGTGTTATTTTGTGACAATTATAACTATTTAACCTCCATAGAATTTGCCCTACAGATGTAGGGCAAATAAAAGTAAGTAATTTGATTTGTTTAAACCTCTATGGTTGCTATTAAAACGGGATATAGATTCATTTTTGGTTTTAGAATTCTAATTCAAAATTATTTATTGACTAAATTTATTTTCGTGGAGCCTAAGATTTCCAAAGTTCTCAAATGCTAACAAAAACCAATTTTAGTCAAAAAAAATCTCAATAACAACTGTCATAATATGTTATGCTTTACTGCCTTTTGCTGAAATATGGGTTTATACAAACAAAAAACATAAATTAAATACTAACGCTTGAGCTTTAAATTT